GGGAGGGAATGGAAGGGAGAAGGGAGAGAGGAAAGGGGGGATGGAAAGGGAGAAGGGAAAGAGGAATAGAGGGAGGCGGTAGAGAGGATTGGATGGGGACAGAGGAATGGTGGGGGAGGGAAAGGGAGAAGGGAGAGTGGAATGGAGGGAGAGTGGAAAGAAGGGATAGGGGGGAGAGAGAGGAATGGAGTGGGGAGAGAGGAATGGAAGGGGGGGGGAGTAGTGAGCAGCATGGGAGGGGGTGGTGAGTCATGGAGGGAGGGAGGAGTGGTGGTGCTTGGCCCTTGTCGCGTCCCGCGTGGGCGTTGTATTGTCGTCCCAGGGCGGCCGTTCATCGTCGTCGCGTGTCGCCGTTGTCACGGTTGCGGTTGCGTGTTGCCGTTGTCGCGTCTCACGTGTTGTTGTTGTTGTTGTTGTTGTTGTTGTTGTCGTCGCGTGTTGTTGTCGTCGCGTGCCGTCGTTGTCGCATGTTGTGGTTGTGGTCGTTGTCCCGTGTCGTAGTCCTCACGTGTCATCGTCCTCACGTGTCGTCGTCCTCATGTGTCGTCGTCTTCGTGTGTCGTCGGCATCGTGTGTCGTTGTCGTTGTCGTTGTCGTTGTCGCATGTCGTGTCGTTGTCATCGCGTGTCGTCGGCGTCGCGTGTCGTTGACACATCATCGTGTCGTGGGTGGTGCTTGTCGTCAGCCTCGGTGGTGGTTGTGGGCTGTTGTTGGGGTGTGGTGTTGTTGCGTGGGGTTGCTGTTGTCGTGAGGTTGGTTTGGGCGAGGTACGGTGGTTGGGTGTGTCGAACGAGGTTGGAGATGGTGGGAAGGTGGTGGTGGGAAGACAAAAGACAACGACGCGGCAACAAAGCCAACGTGCTTTCGGAACGTGCCGGGAGCGAGGGTATATGATGTGTAAAAGTTATAGAGCTAATAAAGCCTTCGTGGTGTAGTGGTTTATTGCGGCAGTTACAGCTGCCCAAGTGATTGAGTGTTCAATTCCCGGTCATGGCATTCTTTTTTTCTGGTCTAATAATAATAACAATAATAAATAAACAGAAATTGTAAACTCTTTCTGGACTCCATATGGAGTCTGGCTGGTTGACTGTGTTATGAGGTGGAGTCCATGCAGTCCAAATGGTGGACCTGGACTCCAGTTTGGCTGGGTTGCCACCAGAGAAAAAATCTGGATGAACAGCAGTAATCCATCTGGAGTCCGCCGGAGTCCATCTGGAGTCCAACTGGAATATGTGGAGGAGTGTAAAGTCCTCAAGCGTTGGAATAGAATTCCACCAGAGAGACAGGAAAGCGAATCTCCATTTGGAGTGACATGCAGATAGGTTTCGAAGAAGTTTTGGATATCATTTTGCTCAACCAAGAGTGAGACCATATCCCCAGTATCTGAGGATGAGAATGCGAGGCAATCAGTCATTTTTCCATTCTCATTGACCAGGACCTTGAGCTCATTAGCAAGCATCTTACCATCTAGGATGCACTCAAGCTTAGCAATATTACCAGAAAGAAGACCCAGTTCGATCTTGCGCCTTTTGAGACAACGTTCATCCGGTATTACTGCCTGGATAGATGGCAGAGCCTGTTCGTAGTCCATTGGGTGGATTCCTTGAACTTCATTATATTGGGAGAAGATGTCCATGCATCCCCTTTCAAGTTGTCTGGTCAAACCTTGATTTTTGGCCATAACACTTTGGAGACACTCACTGAAGTTTGTCAAATGTTTCCCAAGTTGTGTCGTCATATCCCTTCCAGCTAATTTCCCAGTATGGAACGTTCTGGGATTCAGTCAATATACAATCCCTTTTTATTATCCAAGGAGTAATCGTACTCACATCATCATCATAGGCAAATCCCACTATTGCTTCCACTTCATAAACTTCGTTCTCCACAGGTTCAACTTCTTGATGTGGTCGTTTCCTTCTTCCTCGTGTTGCTGCAAGACAATTGGCATTTCTCTGAGGTATATCTAGATTATCTCGATTGTTGGACTGGCTTGAACGGTTTCGCTGGGCACCGGAAGATGGTCTAGAGGGAGAGCTACCTTGATCGTTGGAAGGAATGATGTTCTGAGCAGCTAGAGTATCGCCAAGACCGTCTGGAGTGCTATCAAGCCCATCAACGCTGTTATGAGGTTCTGAACCAGAGCAGCTAAGAGTTTCAGAAGATTGGGGAGTGCTGTTTCGTCCCTGAGACTTATCCGGCTGGACACCTGAAATCACATTAGCCAGAGCACCAGGTTCATCCACATTATGCCGTTCTTCTACAGAGTTTGGCTGCAGTGCCCCGATGTGAGCATTGTCCAGGAGCGCTGTTAGAGAAGCACTGGAAGGTGTATTAACATGTGTACTAGACTCTGCCGTTTGGAAAGAAGATGCAGCGATTGATGGTTTGGCGATTGCGGAAAGATCTTGTTTGAGTTTCGACGGTGCATTTTGCCAGAGGTATGCAAGTACCAAAGGGTTGCCTTTTAGTCTGACCAGAAGTATGAGAAAAAAGCTTGTGCAACAACGGGAGTACTCACAAATCTTCCTTCATGTCTACAATGCGGTTATCATCCTTGAGCCGAACCTCAAAGATTGCCTGGTAACGGCTACTCAGCAATCATAAACTCAGCAAAACTAGGATATCTCACCTTCGTAGAATTTGTGGAGGTCTTTACCATCCCCCACGTAATCCAGATGGACTCCAGTGGACTCCACTGGATTCCAGTCACCCTTTTGCCAGGCCAGATTGGCTGGTACAATGCCCAGTCCACTGGAGTCCAGTCCAGTCCAGTCCAGTCCAGTCCACTGGACTCTCACTGGACTGCCAGCCACTTTTCAGAGTCCAGTCCCAGTCCAGTGGACTGAGAGTCCAGTCAGAGTTCACTGGAGTCCACTGGAGTCCACTGGTATATTAACTGAATTAGAACAAACATTATACTAATTTCAGCAGTCCAGTGGAGTCCAGTGGAGTCCACTGGACTGTACTAGTAACATCAGTACTCAGTTATTATTATTAATACAACTAAAAATGCGAAAATAGAGCACTATCATTAACAGACAACACTAGAAGTATTATAATACTACAACATATACTATATTATGAAAACCAATGCTACCGATAACGAGGATCAAGCATTTTGTTCAGTCTGCGGGGTGAGATTACAAAGCGGGACAAACTCACGGCGTTGTCCGATCGAACGTTATGTGGCATCACTTGTCACATCGACATGACCATCCTTCCTACACCACACCACCACCTCGACTACACCACTCACCACCGCCGACGTCTGACGTTGGCGGTGGGTTTACTGTTTGTGTCAACCCACGACGACACCGCCCACCATCGATACCGCCCACCGTCGACGCCGCCTACCATCAACACCGCCCACCGTCGACACCGCCCATGCCACATCACTCCCGCTAACGAGGAACGGCACACCCATGCCACGAACGACAATGGCGCCCATGCAAACGTATGGGTATGCAGAATGACGAGCCAAGAACGAGGGACGGCGCCCATGACGTTGCCACGTCATGGGCAAATAGTACGTGTGTTTGCCCAACCACCCCATTCCTCCGTCCTCACCACAACAGCAGACGAGCGCCCACCCCGAGCACATACGAAAAGCGACGAGCGCCCACCCCACCCACGAATTTTGACAAGCGCCCACCATGAGAAACGACGAGCGGACACGGAAAACGACGAGCGCCCACCCCACCCACGAATG